CCAGAAAAAGGGAATATTCACATGAAACAGCTGAACACACTGATGGGTTCTACCAGCAGATTCATCTCCTGGGTCTGCAGGCAGGAAAACTCGTTCCAACTCCTGTCTTTGGATGTATCCTCCAGCTGTCTTTTACTTCCACAAACTTTCTTCAGCCCCTCCTCTATACCTACTCCTGCCAAGCTGTGAGAGGGAGAAGCTCAATAATTAAGAGGTACGGCAATTTAAGAGGAAAGTACAACTTCTGCACCAATATATTAGTCATGAGCTCAAAGCTACAGCCCTTCTGATGAATGGCAGGGCCTTGTGTCTCCAGCCAGGTATCATTAACCTGCGTGGAAGAGTCAGGCCTCTGCACTTCAATCATCTGTGACCCAGTTTAGTGGTGAACATTTGCAGGGTTCCTGTCATACTTTGAACTGTAAGCACTTCTGAAGTACCATTAAATCACAGAACTCCCAGCTGCCTATCATTAGCTCCTGAACAATCTTCTGACGAGAGGACAAAACTTCAGTGTGGCTGGGGCAGGGGGGGAGGAAAAGGGTAAGATTCAACCAATATTTCATCATTCTTGAATACAAGATAATGCAGTAGAGCAAAGAACTGAAGACATACACTGTGGTTATCACATAAAATTAAAAGCTTTTTAGTGTTTAAAATAGCATTTACACATAAGCAGCTATATATTAACTATACAGACACTTGGGTTTTAATACAATATCTACAAAAAAGAATTCAATTATGCAATAGACATTTAACAGGAACAGTGCAGTCCATGCTAGTAAGAGGTCACTCTTTGAGTAGAACCAATTCTAGAATAGGTGATAGTCTGGGTTTTCATTATTTAAAATCATGTAACTTTGTTCCTCTACTGTACATAAAATTCTTTACATGTATTTCTAATCACTGATTAGAATTAATAATTTTAAGTCAATCTTATTACAATCCAGTTAAATGCAAAACAAACAATTACATCAACTCATGAGCTGTCAAGTCTCAACATGGGACTGCCCATTGGAATAAAACAAAAATAATATCAAAAGTCAATGTCTGTGCATCATTGCTTGCCGTCCAATATACCTTTGGATAAAGTGTCCACGGGACTGTTACCTTTGAAAAGGAGATTTATTAACAGGAGGTAAAAGACAATAGCAGTGCTTTTAAGACTATTTGCCAAAAAACTTACTCCTCAGAGTTAATAGACTGGGTGGGTACACTACCCCTACAGATACTACCTCCTTTGGACAGGAGACGTCATCCCAAACTGTTTTCTCATCATTTTCTATGATCTTCCTAACATACCTGTTAGTCCTTGTTAAAAGCTGTTGGCAGGTATGCATGAACATCACGCTCAGCTGCAGAGCACCAGCAGGTGTTGCGGGTCTCACTTCCAGAATAAAAATGCAACTATCTAAGGCTCCTGTTACGAGGTTGTCATAGCAAACCCATAACTTCTCATTGTAGTTGGAGGCATAGGTCATGCATTCTAGAGCCCAGCCAGTGCCAGTTACCTGACATTAAAATCAGAGAAAAATTCCAGGCCCTGCTGGGAGAAACAGTGTGTTCTGCAGGACTCCAGCCTTCAAACTTTCTTCCACCTGGCACAGTACTTCCTATAGTAAGTAGCTTCATCAACATCGGTGGCACTTCTTTCTGCAGGCAGTACTGTACCCAACAGGAGAAACTTGCACCGTGAGGCCCCAAGGCCCCCTTGTTGCAAAGACGCATGCACATGCATTGAAAGCCAAGCGTGAGATTTGGGAAATCTCCTGTCTTCATTCACTTCTGAAAATTAAGAGCTAGCAATGTTTCAGGCGGAACTCCCCATTCACTCAAACCAGCCTCTCCACTGTACACTACGAGGTGGGGAAACCAAGCTTTTGTTTTACACACAGTGGCCATTACGTATTGCACTGTTCACAGGAGGGTCATTTACATTCTCCTGCTGCTCTCTGTAAATCGCAGGTTCTACGTGCTATGCAGCAGGAACCAGCTAGCACATCTGTCAGTGCATTCGGAGCACGCCCTGGTCGCCTGAAATGGATGCCTGTTTGTGGGTGAGGCTAGTTCAGGCTGGATTTAGCAGCCCGATTTCCTCAGCAGACGAACGCTTTCCCACACCTATGTTATGGACTGTCAGCCTCATTCCAGAGTTACCCACAAACACGCAAGTATATAACACAGTCATTTCAACATAGCAGCAAAGACCAGCAAGACACAAAACAGTTTCTGCCAACAGCATAACAAGAAGACGAAAAAACCCAGCAGGTGTGTAAACTGCAGCTCTTGAAAAGACACAAGGAAATTAAACAAGTTTCCTCCACGGGTGAAAGCTCAGCCCCCAGCTTTAATCCCTTTTGGAAATATCTTATTAAAATGACAGTCTTTTCCTCCAGCCCTGTAAGTTCTGCCTTAAGACAAAGTGGGCCAGAAAAATCGTAATATATGAGAGACCAGAAAAGTTTAAATTAATTTAAAAGTAGAACCACTAGTGATTGTCAGTAAAGTCACAGACTCCTTAATAGTGTCTCCTGGAGACATAGCAGAATTACAGAACTATTTTACCCTGATTTATTTAATTGCTTTAAATGTCAATCTTTCAAAAGAGTTTACTGAGTTTAGTTAGCATCTCTGCTGTGTTACTGGGAGGAGGAAAGGAAAAGAAAGGATACTGTTGCACAGTCCAGCTTTAGGTAGCGCCGTTCTTTTGAACAAGCCATCACCAACTTTGCAATCTATGCCAGCCCATCAGATGGATCATGACGAAAGCACTGCTTTCAGAAACGTTATTAACGCTTTTCGGGAGATTTTTGTAAAGAAAACTGTCCAAAACCACTCAGCTAGTTTAGAAGCCCAGTAACTGGAGCATCTAGTCCGGGTGCCATACAGTTTCCGAAATGCCTAGCTCCCTTTGGAGAGTGAGACTTCAGTCTCCAATTAACACAGACATTTGAAAATGTTGCTCTGACTTTTGTAAAAGGGACGTGTTTACACACAGACCTGTAGTAAGAAAAGCAGTGAAAAATCTATCAGAATGAACAACAGCCAAAATGGACAGTTTGAAGAGTAATGTTTCAGGGAGACAAAGGAACATGAAACTACACGTATATGGTGAGAAAGACATGGTCTCTTTCGACATTCATATCGGATTTTCACACTACTCATAAAGCATGGAACATAACAAAAAGAAGCTTCTTACCAGTGAAGAAAATGCTTATATACAGTAAAGACTGATTTTAAAGCACCTGTCCTAAAGCCTGCCAGAAGCAGGTATCTCACAAAAGAGGATTTAACTGAGGCATGGCCCCATGGTCAAATGCCACCAAGTGACTGCAGCTTAACATGTACTTCCCATTAAATGAGCCACCATAACAGAGTGTGGGTGTGCTCTTACCATGCCCTGATTCAGATACTTTAGAAAAGCTTCTTAAACGACAGTGAAGGTTCCTGAACATATTTTATCAAGCATCCATAGCCTTAGAGCAAAAAATAGACAGTAATGAAATCTTGGGGATATACAACAGCAGTTGCTTAAGTCAAAGCTCCCCAGCAGGAGCTTTAGCATGGGTCTCGCTCTGTGTCGGGTATAAAGATTCATTCATTGTACCATTTATGAACTGTTCTCCAAACACCCTCTCACCTCTCTGCTAACAGCTAGCCCCCATCTGTGTTCAGAACATGTTTTCTTGGGTAACACTGCAATTGGGATTAGAGATCTCCAGGTTTCTATTTCAAAAAAAGAGAAAGATACTGCTCAGAAATTAAGAACAGAAAAAGAGGTGATCAAAATGAATAGCCATGTCCCAGTGGGAGCCACGATTTACCTACGTCTCTGCTAGAATGAGATAAATATTCCCTTCAAAAGGGAAAAGCTGCAGCTACGCTAACAGAACCGCATAGCAGCAATTGTTCTGTGGAAACAACTTTTAAAACCTGTAAGCAAGTCCGCATTATAACCAGAAGAAACAGACACATCTGTCAGCAGGGATGTGACTGAAATGCCCAGGAATGGACTGCAGCTACAAAGTCACTACCATGATACTAAATGAAATAACTTTACAAGTTCTGCACAATGAACACATACAGTAGCAAGACTCCAACACTCCCTTGATAGAATAATATCTTAAAAAAAACAAAAAAAAAAAAAAAAAAAAAATTGTTTTATACCCCTAGTCGGCAGAAGAAGGTAGCCACAACTTTGCCTTCTGCTAGGAATTGGTTTGAGCCTGCTCCTTTCCAAGCACGTGTTGTCTGTACACTCGCGGGTGCCATGTCTGCTTGGAGTGCTGACTGATGCATCCAAGAAACAGCATTACAAGGCAGTATCACAGATACTAGCCAACGGTCGTTTTTTCCTTGTAAGAGAAAAAGCAGGGTAAAATAAAAGTGCTACTATGCATCTTAAAAAAAACAAAAAAAAAAAAGAAGAAAAATTGATTTATACTCCCTAGTCGGCAGAAGAAGGTAGCCACAACTTTGCCTTCTGCTAGGAATTGGTTTGAGCCTGCTCCTTTCCAAGCACGTGTTGTCTGTACACTCGCGGGTGCCATGTCTGCTTGGAGTGCTGACTGATGCATCCAAGAAACAGCATTACAAGGCAGTATCACAGATACTAGCCAACGGTCGTTTTTTCCTTGTAAGAGAAAAAGCAGGGTAAAATAAAAGTGCTACTATGCATTATTGGAAATTTAGAAGTCATGTGAAATAATAGTCCTTGAATCAGCCAAAAAGATACACTAATTGCATTGAAGTAGGTGCCACAATTACCAAAGCTCATTAAGATGTGAATATACCCCAGCCATTCACAATCAAAAACAAGGGGG